ATGAATGTTAAAATTCTAGGATTCAATTAGATATAAAAGTAAAATTTATATCTACTATTAATTAAAATTTAAATTTTTTGAATTTGTTGATTCCCTCCTAATTAATTTTTTTTAGTTCTAAATTTTTTAATTTTTATGTATTTGTTGTTAGGCCAATTTTTATATTATTTTAATGAAAATTCCTTCTATCTTTTAAACAAAAATTTCAAACGTAAAATAAAAAATTTCAAAAGTGTAAAAGACAAATTCTTGGAAAATAAATAAATAAATAAACAAACCGGAAAATGGAAAAAATGAGAGAAAAAAAAAGTCATGGGTCGGACCGGTCGGTTTGATTGAACCGGACGAAAAATGTGGACGGCGGACAATTTTACCCTTTTTACAAATTCCTTAATTTTACAGAGAAAAATAAAATAAAAAAAGTTTTGGGTGTGAAGAGAGATAGACAAACAGTGAGAAGAAGGAAGAGAAAAGCTTCTTCTTCTTCTTCTCGCTTCTTTGCAACCAACTCCCACCATTTTGTTTCTGTTCTAACCTTACAGCAAGAAAGCTTCACTTCCAGTCACTTCTTCATCTCTGTAAGCCTACAATTCACTCCACTTTCCCTTTTACTCAATTTCAATTTCGATCTCTTCTGTTTTTTCCTTCAATTTCATCTCCCAAACCCTTCAATTCATGCTCCCCTTCTGTTTTTCTGATTTGGTTCGTGTATTCTGATCGATTTTGTTTGTGATTTTCATCGTTTCTCCTCTTCTGCAACTCAGTGTTTCGTGCTAGGGTTTTTGACATCTCGATGTGGTGTTAGGGTTTTCGGCCTTCCCTCGATTTTCTGGAATTTTGGGATTTCGATTCTGTTTCTGCTGCTCTATTTCTTCGAAGAATCTGGAATTTTTGTACTGTTTGGATTCTTTTGTTTCGTTTTTGTAGTGGATCAAACGTATGAGATATGCTTTGATTCTTTGATGAGTTTGAGGTTTTTTCTTTTGGCTGGATTTGAGGGGGCAATGCTTGAATAGACGTTTGAGAATTTGCCGGTTTTGAGCAGTTCTGGTTAGAGTAATTGGTTAGATAGTGTGATGTCTATGAACAATATTAATAATAACCCACCGAAGAGCCTTGGGGGGGTTTCTTCATCGCCTTTTGGAAATTCTGGGATAATTCCGCCATCTATGGCTGCAAATTCCTCATTTCCACAGCCGCAAGCTCAATCTCAATTAGGAGCTGGGTTTCAAACTCCATTTCAGCTAACCCCTGCTCAGGCTTTGGCCCAAGCTCAGTTAAAGGCTCATGCCCAAGCTCAAGCACAAGCAGCTCACGCCCAGTTTCAAGCTCATTTACAAGCACAAGGGCTATCCCTAACTCAGAGCCAGGCTATTGGTGGTGGGAACATGGGTTCTCCTTTGCAGGGGTTTTCCACACCTGGCCTTGCAGGTGTGAAGCGAATTCCTCAAAAGCCACCGGTTCGACCGCCTATTCTTTCCCCTGCTACCCCGTTTTCACCGTTGAAAACAATGGAACTTACTCCCGCTGCTCGGAAAAAGAAACAGAAACTACCTGAGAAGCAGCTTCAAGATAAAGTTGCTGCTATCTTACCAGAGTCTGCTCTCTACACTCAGCTGCTTGAGTTCGAGTCTCGTGTCGATGCTGCACTTGCAAGAAAGAAAGTTGATATCCATGAAGCACTTAAAAACCCGCCTTGCATTCAGAAAACTCTTCGGATTTATGTCTTCAACACATTTGCAAATCAAGTTAATACAATTCCCAGAAAACCAAATGCCGATCCTCCTACCTGGACCCTTAAGATAATAGGTAGGATTTTGGAAGATGGGATCGATCCGGATCATCCCGGGGTGGTACAAAGATCAAATCCTTTGTACCCAAAATTTTCAGCTTTCTTCAAGAGAGTAACCATTTCCTTGGACCAGAGGTTATATCCAGATAGTCATATCATAGTATGGGAAAATGCTCGGTCGCCTGCACCGAATGAGGGCTTTGAGGTGAAGAGAAAAGGGGATAAAGAATTTTCGGTCAACATTCGGTTAGAAATGAATTATATTCCAGAGAAATTCAAGCTATCACCTGCTTTAATGGAAGTTCTTGGTATTGAAGTCGATACTCGCCCGAGAATAATAGCTGCAATCTGGCATTATGTAAAGGCTAGGAAACTTCAGAATCCCAATGATCCGTCTATCTTTCATTGTGATCAACCTCTTCAGAAGGTATTTGGGGAAGACAAGATGAAATTCACCATGGTTTCACAGAGAATATCACAACATTTGTTCCCTCCGCAGCCTATACATTTGGAGCATAAGATTAAGCTTTCAGGGAATAGTCCAGTGGGTACAGCATGTTATGATGTGTTGGTTGATGTGCCTTTTCCAATTCACAGGGAATTGTCTGCTCTATTAGCCAATGCAGAGAAGAACAAGGAGATTGATGCGTGTGATGAAGCAATATGTACAGCTATAAGAAAAATTCATGAGCATCGACGAAGACGAGCATTTTTCCTTGGGTTCAGTCAGTCACCGGTGGAGTTTATTGATGCCCTAATTGACTCTCAAAGCAAGGATCTTAAACTTCTTGCAGGTGAAGGTAGCCGAAATCCTGAAAAGGAGCGCCGGTCGGATTTCTTCCATCAACCATGGTAAATTTCTTCTCAATTCCAACTGCTTTTTATACTTCTTATCCTTGTATTCATTCTTTAACAATTCATACCGTTAAGTGGATTTATAACTAGACTATAACAGCCTAGGCCCACCGCTAGTCGACATTGTCTTCTTTGGGCTTTCTCTTTCAGGCTTCCCCTCAAAGTATTAAAATGCGTGTGCTAGGGAGAGGTTTCCACACCCTTATAAATAATGTTTCATTCTCCTCCCCCAACCGATGTGGGATCTCACAATCCACCCCCCTTCGAGGCCTAGCGTCCTCGCTGAACTCGTTCCTGTCTCCAATCGATGTGGGTTCCCTATTCCACCTCCCTTCGAGGCCCAACGTCCTTGCTAGCACACCGCCTCGTGTACACCCCCATTTGAGGCTCAGCCTCCTTGCAGGCACATCGCCCGATGTCTGGCTCTGATACCATTTATAAGAGTCCAAGTCACTACTAGTAGATATTATCCTCTTTGGGCTTTCCCTTTTGGGCTTCCCTTCCACTCAAGGTTTTAAAACGTGTCTATTAGGGAGAGGTTTCCACACCCTTATAAAGAATGTTTTGTTCTCCTCTCCAACCGAGGTGAGATCTCACGTAGACACACACATATATGTGTTTGTATATATAAAACCATTAAGGCTCCATTTAAACGTGTTGTTTTTGGTTTTCTATTTTTGAAAATTAAGCTTATTAACATTACGACTTCCCAATTTTCGTACTTTTTACCTACTTAAAATGTTCTAAAAATCAAGCCAAATTTTGAAAACAAGGAAAAGTACCTTGTAAAAACTTGATTTTGTTTATGAAATTTGGCTTAGAATTCAAACTCGTTTTTTAAGCAAATTGAAAAGTTTACCGTAGCGGGCATAATTTTCAAAAATAGAAAACCGAAAATGGCTATGAAAGGCCAAACTTTTACATTCCACACTGATGGCTGTGTTTGGATTGGACCTGAAAAGATATATCCCTAACTTCCTCCCTTCTCTGTATCTGTTTCAAAAGTTATGCTATATGTTGTGTTCTTTATCTCTTTTCTCAAAAGATATTATTCTTCCAGCTTTTAGCCATCCCTTTCCAACAGAATTTTCAATGGGTTAAAAATTCTAGTATGGGGATTATTACCTGTTATATATTCCTTTTATCATTTTGAGCTCGAATTTTAAGGTTCATGGTTGATTAAACAGGGTTGAAGATGCTGTCATCCGGTACATAAATCAAAAGCCAACTGCAGGAAGTGAAGCACCTGGAAGTACATGACTGTGATCGTGTTGAGCTGCTATCGATTGCCATTTTTAGATACCTGTATGACCGACACCCTTTAGTTTATTAGTGAACACCCGATCATTGCGAACGCTTCCTTGACGCATATGGTATGTGAATTCCGAAAAACATGCTCCTTAGTTCAAACGGGCATTGATGAAAATGCTTCATGAACAACATATGGTTTCTTCAGTCATTTTCTTAGAGCATCCTTCGTTGTAGAATGGAATGTTTCTTGTAGTAGAATCTGCAACCATATAAAGTTTAGATTTTTTTTGTTAGAGCATCACGTTTCTTGAAAATTCGAGCTCGTCGATCTGTTTCTCGATTAGATCAAAACCATTTGTTTTTTTTTATTTATATGTGAAGATTTTCTCCAAATTGTTTAATAGCTGAGATCTTCTTTGGAAGTTGATCAAGAGACCACCATGAGGTTGTGATTCAGCCATGTCTGTTCAAGCCATTATGATTTTTGTGATGTCCTACATTGGTTGGGGAAGAGAACAAAACATTATTTATAAGGGTGTGGAAACTTCCCCAAGCCTTGAGGGGAAGTCCTCCCCGAAAGGAAAAGCCAAAGAGGACAATATCTGTTAGCGACGAGTCTGGGTTGTTACAAATGGTATCAGAGCTAAACACCGGATGATGTGTTAGCCTTTGTGCTATTCTCCGAAGGGGGTAGACACGAGGGGGTGTGCTAGTAAGGACGTTGGGCCCCGAAGGAGGTAAATTTGGTAGCGGCCTCACATCGATGGTAGAAAGGAACAAGTACCAGCGATGATGCTGGGCCTCGAAAGGAGGTGGATTGTGATGTCCCATATTGGTTGGAGAGGAGAACAAAACATCCCGTGTGGAAACCTTTCTCTCGTTTCAAAGTCTTGAGGGGAAGCTCGAAAGGGAAAGCAAAGTAGACAATATCTGCTAGCGATGGGTCTTAGTCGTTACAATTTTGTTTAGTAAACAATTCTGGACTTGAATGAGTTTTTTATTTATTTCATAATATTTCATAATATTATTGTGAATTTATTATAAGAAAATGGAAATGGTGAAATTAAGAACTGTTCTTGGTTTCTGAATTCATGTATGTTTTTCAACACTGTTGTCCGTCAGTTCTGTGTTGGAATCGTTTGAATTGACTCTTCTTCTGATTGTTTAAATTGGGAATTTTGTATGTTTTGAATTCTCTCTCTTTCTCTTTCTCTTTCTCTCTCCTCTGAAACAGAACTTTGAAGCCGCCGGCCATGTGTGCCGTTAGCAGCGGCACAAACACAGGGTCGTTGGAGGCGGTGGCGGCGATGGGTTTGATTCTGAATTGACTGAGGATTGAAGCGACCACATACTTCATCTGAATGAAAGCCATCTCTTTACCTAAACACACCCTTGGCCCGGCTTGAAATATTGGAAACTTGTACGGACTCACTAATTTCACGCCTCTTCTCCGTCCACGACCCTCTGGTTCTAGCAGCCATCGGCTCGGCTTGAACTCGAACCGATCCTTTCCCCATACTGCCTCCATCCTACTCTTCTCCGTCCACGACCCTCTGGCTCTAGCAGCCATCGGCTCGGCTTGAACTCGAACCAATCCTTTCCCCATACTGCCTCCATCCTACCCATCCCATATGGGAAATATGTCACTTTTGTCTCCAGCCTGAACTGGAGTCCCGTCGGGCAACCAGTCATTGACAATGGCATGCTTGGAATCCCATGGGACTGGGACTGGCGGATAGAGTCTCATGGTTTCGCAAAGGCATGCCTTGAGAAATTTGAGCTCCTCGAGAGATTTATAATCAAATTTCTTTTCGAGTATCAAAGTTGATTCAAGGTCTATCTCTTCTACTAATGGTTTCTCAACATTGGAGTGGTGGGTGAGTAGCCAAAAGAGCCCTGTCATGGCAGCCAATGTCATGTCTCGACCTGCCATGATGAAGCTTATGGCCATGTCTCGAATTATCTTGTCGTCGTGGCCAACGGAGATCAACCTAACAAAATGTAGGTTTAGTTCATGTTCAATAATCAATTAAAGAATACTAAAAATTTCGACCACATCAACAAATCAAGAAATCAGAAATTCAAACCTCTATTTTATCTAGTTGAACACTTAATTTTACTCAATTTGATGGCTAATTCACCCTTTTTAATAAAAGAATTAAAAAGAAAGATAAACTTATTTATTTTTCACCACAAATCATTCAAATTGGGAAGATGGGAGAACGTACCATAACTAAAAACTTCCCACGAGCAAAACCAGTCCTATTCAATCACAACTGTATAATTCTCCCCTTGTATATAATGCTCCGACTGTACGTACCTCAAATTCTCAAAACTTTCACAAATGATTCAATTAGTAGTCTTAAAAACCGATTTTAAATGAAATTAAGTGAAAATAGATATGAATCACAAATTGTGAATGTTTGATTAATCCACCACACCCAAATGGTGGTGAGAGTTCTCTTATTTATAATCATTTACAGAATACAGAAATAAGGTAAATTACAAATAATAAGAAAATAGCGATAAAAAGAAAGAATAATAAATGAATACAATATATTTGCATTTAGTAAAAGGGAAAATATGGTAACCCGTAATGTAAGGCAAATATCAAGATATTTGCCTTATAATGAACGGTCAACTATCCTTAACACCCCCCCGCAAGCTGAGCGTCGGATTTGAACGAACATGAAGCTTGGATCTGAAAAATTCAAAGAGAGGTCGAGAAATACTCTTTGTGAAGATGTCAGCAACTTGGAGATGAGAGGGTACATATTGTGTACGAAGTTTGCCAGCGATAACAAGTTCTCGAAGGAAATGATAATCTAGTTCAACATGCTTGGCCCGCTTGTGAGAAACAGAATTAGAGCTCAAAAAAATAGCACTTTTGTTGTCACATAAGAGTAAGGGCTGCGGTGAAATAGGGACCTTGAGGTCATGCAAAAGATGCGTAACCCAAAGAAGTTCAGCAGCAGTTGTGGCAAAAGCACGATACTCAGATTCACAGCTGGAGCGTGATACAGTAGGTTGCTTTTTGGCACTCCAAGAAATGAGATTGTTACCAAGATAAATAGAATAGCCGGATGTAGAACGACGAGTATCGGGACAACCAGCCCAGTCAGCATCCGAATAAGCGACTAGCGTACTAGGAACAGTGGATGGACGAAAGATAAGACCAAAGTGGAGTGTTCCTTTGACATAGCGAAGAATACGTTTGACAGCAAGAAAGTGATCTGCAGTAGGGGCATGCAAGAATTGACTGACAGAATTGACAGCATAGGCAATATCTGGACGCGTGATAGTCAAGTACTGAAGGGCGCCAACAAGAGATCTGTAGAGAGTAGGATCAGAGAAAGGAGAACCATCAGCAGTCAGGTGTTGAGAAACAACCATGGGAGTGTGAACTGGTTTGCTATCGAGCAACTGAGCACGAGTAAGAATATCTCGAGCATATTTTAACTGACTGATAAAGAGACCATCAGGAGTGGGTGAAGCTTCAAGACCAAGAAAGTAACTGAGAGAACCCAAATCTTTGGTAGCAAACTCAGAATGAAGCTTGCGAGTAAAGCTGTTAATAAGAGATGAGTTGTTGCCGGTAACAATAATGTCATCAACATAAAGAAGCAAATAGATAAGGTTAGATTGCTGATGAAAGACAAAAAGTGACGTGTCAGCGCGACTACAAGAAAACCCAAGTGTGAGAAGAAATGAGCTAAAACGCTGAAACCAAGCACGAGGAGCTTGCTTTAAGCCATAGAGAGCTTTCTTTAATAGACAAACATGCATAGGAAATCGAGGATCAACATACCCAGGAGGTTGTTCCATATGAACACGTTCAATAAGCGTTCCATTGAGAAAAGCATTCTTGACATCAAGTTGTCGAAGAGGCCATTTATTTGCGACTGCAATAGAAAGCACAACACGGACAGTGGTAGCTTTGACAACCGGACTGAAAGTGTCAGTGTAGTCAAGACCAGGAACCTGAGTATAACCTTTGGCAACGAGACGAGCCTTGAAACGCTCGACGGATCCATCGGGCAAATATTTAATACGAAACACTCATTTAGAGCCCACGATGTTGGTGTTGGCAGGGCGAGGAACCAAAGTCCAAGTATCATTTTGTTGTAACGCTCGAATTTCTTCATCCATGGCAGCCACCCAAGCAGGATTCTTAGCCGCAGATTTGAATCCTTTTGGCTCAGTGGATGCAAGAAGAGCAGAGAGAAGTCCAGATGAGCCCAACATACCAAGATTTGCTGGATGACGAGTCTTGAATATACCAGCTTTGGCTCGTGTGATCATAGGATGAGTGCCCAAAGAAGAGAAATCAACAGGAGGTTCAATAGAGGTTGAATTAGAAGTCGAGGGTGGCAAAGTGGAACCTGCAAGAGAAGTATCAACCTGCACAGACTCATCTACAAGATCAGAACAAATATCACACGGGGATGAACTGGATTGAGGAATGTGCGGTGATGAAGTGGTAGGGGGGGATGAATCAATATGATGAAGATGTGGTTCTAAGAAATTTGAAATAGGAATAGTGAAAAGAGGTTGGGCTTGGGAGCTAGGGATAGCAGGAAAGTGAGTTTCATCAAATTGAGCATGGCAGGTGATATATAGCTTAGTGGTGGCGGGATCAAGACAGCGGAACCCTTTATGAACAGGACTATAACCCAAAAAATACAAGGAATGCTGCGGGGAGAAAGCTTGTTAGGCATATAATCACGCAAATAAGGATAAACACGACAACCAAAGGGATGAAAATTGTCATAATGTGGAGTGTAGCCATAAAGGAGTTCAAAGGGTGACTTACCTCCAAGAAGTGGAGTAGGCAACCGGTTGATAATATAAGCTGCAGTGCTGAAGGCGTCAACCCAAAAACGAGGAGAAAGATGAGAGTGAACGAGAAGGGCCAAGCCAGTCTCAGTCACATGACGATGTTTTCTCTCAACACGACCATTTTGAGCAGGTGTATATGGACAAGAGAGTTAATGGTGGATGCCAGAATTACGTAAATGAGTTTTGAAACAAGTACTAGTAAATTCGGTACCACCATCGCTTTGAAATACCTTGATACGAGAAGAATATTGATTTTCCACAAATTTTTGAAATTGAAGAAAAATATCAAAAAAATCAGATTTAAATTTTAAAGGGTAAAACCAAGTGAATCGAGAATAATCATCAATAAAAATAGCATAATAAAGAAAACCCGAATTTGATTTGACGGGAGAACCCCAAAGATCACAATGAATAAGATCTAACACATGAGACGACCTACGTTCATTGCGGGAATAAGGCAATCGATGGCTTTTCGCATGCTGACAAGTATTACATAATGATGGAGAAGGCAATAAAGACGTAAGAGAAAGATGGCCTTTTTTATTTAAAAAAGAAATAACAGAATGATTCACATGACCCAGACGAGCATGCCATAAATCATATGAAGCACGTAAAGATTTTTTTTTAAGGGCTGAAATAAAAGCAGAGTTGCCGCGCTCCAGCACATATAGCCCTCCATCTCTTTTACCGGTTGCCACCACCCTTCCTGTTTGATGATTCTGGATAGTAATAAGATTATTAGTAAATGTAACGGAGAGAGGAAAATCAGACGTTAATTTACTTATGGAAAGAAGATTTTTAGTGAGGTGAGGGACAATAGGGTGGAGCCGAAGAGTAATCAATCGGCTCCGCCTGCAGCAGCCATGAAGACTGCCCCTGCAGCGTCAAAGCCAGCAGGGGTGGTGGAGAAGAAGATTAGAGGATTCAAAAGCCATTGAAAAGAAAGGATCGGGGTTGTTAAACCGAGAGGGCTCTGATACCATGTGAATGTTTGATTAATCCACCACACCCAAATGGTGGTGAGAGTTCTCTTATTTATAATCATTTACAGAATACAGAAATAAGGTAAATTACAAATAATAAGGAAATAGCGATAAAAGGAAAGAATAATAAATGAATACAATATATTTGCATTTAGTAAAAGGGAAAATATGGTAACCCGTAATGTAAGGCAAATATCTAGATATTTGCCTTATAATGAACGGTCAACTATCCTTAACACAAATAAACAATCTAAATATGTGTCTAAAAATGTTAAGTGATATAATCAATAAACTATTTCTTTTCAAATTGAAGAGAGGACTACGTACCATTTGCTCGAATAAAGCCAATCCTCTTCAATCACAACGGTATAATTCTCCCCTTGTATACATTGCTCCAGTTGTACGTGCCTCAAATTCTCCCGATCTAAAACGTTATCACGAAAAGGAAGAAAGAATCAGGCCATATGGCAATAAGCCAAGAAAGACCCCAAAAGGTCACTTTCACGTGAACTTTCTCTCTTTACCTCAAAATCATTTTATACCAAATCCAAAGGGAAGTTTCCTTTCCCATTTATCATCCATTTGAATTCCCATCTACCGACATTTGGATGGCCGAGGCCAAGTGGAAAGGCACGTGATTGGTCGTACTTCCACATTCATTAAAAGCTCTATCTCTTCACATTACCCACTCGAAATAGCTGTCTGCCTTTGGAAACTCTCAAGTCAACGCCTTCACTTTTTCTCCACACTACAATGGCTTTGCAGTTCCCTTCTCCTTCTTCCTCCAACCAACCATGGCGCCTGCCGGAAACCCTGCTCCTCCTCCTCCTCCTTTCCGCCGGAGTAACCTCCAGAGGTAAAACCATCAGCCATTTGTTCATATTCCCATAAAAAAATTTAGATTTCAAGTGATTGGAAGATTTGAAGATAGTCTGAGTATATATATGTCTTACCCAGTTCAGCTAAAGACAGCTATCTTGTCTCCTCTGACATTGTCTCTGTTCTTTTTTCAGAACTTTTGAAGAATTCAGATTTTGAATCTCCGCCGTCAAACCTGCCGGAGAATTCAAACAAAACATCGGTGAAACTGAACGAAAACAGCACAATTCCAGGATGGACATTTCAGGGGACGGGTGAGTACATAACAGTAAGCGAAAACATTTCATTGCCAGAAAAAGGACATGCTATTTTGTTGGGTGAAGATGGAAGAATCAACCAGACCTTCATAGCCGATGTAGACTTTTTGAATTACCTGCTGACCTTCGCACTGGCTCCTGGCGGTCAGAATTGTTCATCTACAGCTCCATTGCTAGTCTCTGCACCAGATAGTGATGCGATGTTTACCTTTAGCCAGCATTATGGGAAGGAGACATGGGAGGTCCATGGCGTTTTTCTGGGTAGCTGGGGAGATGAAGAGCCTGTAAACCTGAAAATTGGAAGTCAAGCTAATGACTCTACTCCAGCCTGTTGGCCTGTAATTGACTCACTTCATATCAAGACAATGGGTGTAGTGATGCCAGATAGTGGTAAGTAGATTTTCTAAGATCCTCAAAATGTGAGTTAAGACAGGTTTGTTAGGAATCACGACTCTCCACAATAGTATGATATTGTTCACTTTGAGCATAAGCTCTCGTGGCTTTACTTTTGACTTCCCCAAAAAGCCTCATACCAATGGAGATGTATTCCTTACTTATAAACTCAGGATCATTCCATCCATTAACCAATGTGTGACTCCCTCCCAACAATTCTCAACAATCTTCCTTTCAAACAAAGTACACTATAGAGCCTTCCCTAAAGTTCATGGAGCCCTTGAACAGCCTCCCCTTAACCAAGGCTTGACTCCTTCTCTAGAGTTCTCGAACAAAGTACACCCTTTGTTCGACACTTGAAGTTAAAGGCATGACTTTAATACCATGTTAGGAATCACGATTCTCCACAATGATATGATATTGTCCATTTTGAGTATAAACTCTCATGGCTTTGCTTTTGGCTTCCCCAAAAGGCCTCGTATCAATGAAAATGTATTCTTTACTTATAAACCCATAATCATTGGCGGATTAGTGTCGGTAAGAAAACTTCTTACTACTACTTTTGATTGATGCAGGAAACTTAGTAGTCAATGGAGGATTCGAATTCGGCCCCGATTTTCTCGAAAGCGTGGAAGGAGGAGTTCTACTTGATACAGTTCCTACTCCTCTCTTTTCACCACTAGCACAGTGGGCTATACTGGGGACAGTCAGATACATAAATTCAAAACACTTCTTTGTTCCACGAGGAAATGCTGCAGTAGAGCTGATATCTGGAGCTTCATCAGGAGTTCAAGCAGCAGTGAAACTCCAGGCAGGCTCATATACCTTGACTTTCACGCTCGGCGATGCTAACGATTCGTGCGAAGCTAAATTTCTTGTCGGAGTACAAGCTGGATCGGGGTCGCAGAATTTCACGTTGGAGAGCAACGGAACAGGTTCGGCTGTAAAATTCTCCATGCCATTCAATGCAGCTCCTGATTATAGTACAATCACTTTCCTTTGCTACACTACATCCAAAACAAAAGATGGAGACTTCTGTGGTCCAGTCATAGATGATGTATTTTTGCGTGCTTCTCATGGGCTCAGAATTTTAATGCCCTGGAAGACCTTGATTCCTCTGTGTTTGATTACAATTCTCTTTTTGCTCTGAGGAAAAAGTCCAGGAATTCTACATTTGACAAGTTAGGAGGCCTGTATTGTTGCTGTACCTGTCTTCTTTGAGGAAAGTTCGGAATAAAAACCAACAAACACCGTAATTTGTCTCAAAAGAAACATACTTCATTAATATGTGGAGATAGAATAGGATGACAGTAATTGTGACAGTATAGTACATTTAGATTGGTATTACTTCATATCTAAGACTATGTATAATTTGGTAACGAAGTGGAAGTAATGAAGATTTATATATATATACCACTTCTGAAATGACTGAAATCTGCTGTATATCTGGCTTGTATATCTAAGAAGAAGACGTTTATTTGGGTAATTCTGAACATGATAGCCAATGGTGGAGAGCTTTTCGTACATTGTTCATTGTATTGACATTTTGATGACCTGCAAATCAAGCAAAATAATGAAACACAATAAAATGGATAGTGTACGACTGCGAGGACATGGAAGTAAATAGTAATGATTCCATTGAGGAAACTTGAAGCTTCAATGGAAATATTAAACCAACCAATACAATGGACATCATAACAATAGTTTTACTCTCATGCCCCTAACAAATGATACCATCCTAAATTTCGAAGTAAAAATCTGCAAATCTAACATGCTTTTCACAATAAAATGTGTTATAGGTAACCGTCCAAGCCTACCGCTAACAGACATTAGATATTGTTCTCTTTGAGCTTTCCCTTTCGGGCTTCCCCTCAAGGTTTTTAAAATAAGGTTTTTAAAATGCATCTACTAGGGAGAGGTTTCCACACCCTTATAAAAAATGTTTCGTTTCCCTCTCCAACCGATGTGGGATCTCAGAATACACAGATGATCTATTAATCACATTTTCTTTTTTTAGATGTGTGATCATATTGATGTTAGGGTTATCAGGGTCTTTCTTCGGAATATTTCATCACACCATACCAATGAAAATATGTTGTTTAAAAAAAAAAAGGTTATCAAGGTCATGGTGATGTAGACTAGATAAAAATAGATCATGGTCATGTGATGTATTGATGCATAAGGTTATCGAGGTCACAGAACAAAAGGATATAAAGAAACTCAGAATCGCTTACCGTATAAAAGTTGCTAAAACTGTTAATATTTCTGATGCTATACACGAGGCCATTAAACCGTTTCAACAGAATTGATCTTTGTTCCACGTTTCAAAAGATTTTTGTATTCCTGACTTTTTGACCAGTCGTCAATCTCACGTGCTCGTAAAACTGGCAGAGGGTGTGAGAGTTGTCTTGTTTGAGCGTTTCTGTAAACACAACAAGTTAGACAATCACAGGGACTGGTATAACTTGCTACTTTATACGCCTTACAAGTTTTTCACCTTATATACCAGCCTACGGGGCTTGAAGAAGCTTTGTCATAAGAGCGAGCTTGCTCCAAAAAAGCATCCACATTCAATTGATTAGCTATAGACGGACAGCCCCCAGCCAGTTTCATCAGAACAGAGATGACCACCTCTTGTTGGAGCAAATGAGTAATCAAATAGTTGAGAAAAGAAGTTCAAAAAGAAAATTCATCTACAGATTAGAAGGGAAAGAATCGGATGAAATTTGAGGTTTATAGTTAAATAAAATCCATACTTTAGAATCCTGAGCGACAAGAAGGGCAGCACGATCACAAGTTAGCTCTGCTGCTCGAAGCCAACGGAATAATTGTTCTTCTAAGTTCCGAGCTAAAAAACCACCAAGCCCTATAAAATATAATAAATGAAATTTAGGTATGTTACTTAAAAAGCATTAGCCTGAGGCCTACATATTCCCTGATTTTTTTTCCCCGTTTAAATATCATATCATAATGCTTGTGGTGACCACGGAGCAAAATGATATTCTTTCATGTTAAAATTCTTATATGCACTCCAACAATACCCTCGATAACTTTGTCTTTTAGAATTAGAATGTTGCATTAGTACTCAATAGTTACTCCTCCATTCTCTAACAGGATCAATTAACAAATTAGCCCCAACAATTATATTATGCTAATCAAACCGTCATTTAAATGCTTACCCGGTACAGTATAAGCTCCCAGGGTAAGAATATTGGCAAATGTAAGCCACACACCATGGTCACATTTTAGATGACCCAATTCATGAGCCAAAACAGCCTGAAAATTTCAAGTGATAGAAAGTTACGTAACGTGACAGATAGCAATAGCATCAATAATGAAATAATAAATAAAAAATACACTTGAGTTCCACGTTATGATGCGGCCATGTATTTGATCAATGTTGTCCATGCTAAGCATTTTATGTCTTTTTTGCAATGAAAGAAATGAAGCTACAAATTGATTCAGCAACCCAAGACTTAGCTATATATAATCCCGGTTAGCATGTGCCTATTAGAAGATAATTGAATACCTGCAATTCTTTTTGTGTAAGAAGCTCCACAAGGCCAGTATGAACAACAATAAACGGCTTTTTGCCACTTATGGCTAATGTATAAGCATTTGGCACAGGATTTTGACGGACGTATAGATCCGGAGCCTCAACATTGAGTACTTTGGCGGCCTCAATTATCAATTGATAAAGATCTGAAAGCTGAACAGGGAAGAAACATATGCTCCACATTAGCTATAAATGTCATGCTTAATCCCATCATGTTCACCTAGTAAGGAATAACTAATGCTCATCGTACAATGTCCATATTAACTGCAAGGAATTTATGCGAGAACCAATTTTTTTGCATATCTGAATGGAAATCCCAGATACCCAAATGCCTAAACTTAAATGCACTCCCACCATTTATCCAAGTGATGAAGTAGAGTTGGAAGAGCTAACTGCTAAGAGATAGTCTTTAAGTTTAGTAAGAGAAAAGATGCATAAGTTTTGTGTGTAATTTGATTGGAAGATACTAATTTATTAGTAAGATTCAGACCCGTCTTTCATCTTAGTGCATTTCTGATTGAAAAAAAAAACTCATAGGGGAAAATATTCGCTTTCTAATGAGTCAAATCTTTAAAAAGGTGTAAAGAACAATATATAATCGTCAGATAATGGATTTTTAGGGTTCAAACACCTGATTTTCAGAAACAAGTATTGATGTTCCTATGTTCTCCAGAAGCATGACTTGTTCAGTCACGGTTCCTGCAATGACAAAACAATAGAGCCATTAACGGAAAAAATATTAGAACTAGGTAGCCAAACGAGGGCAAAACCAGATATGAAAGTAACTGATTGAAATATATGATGCATAAAAGAAATAAATAAATAAATTATGTTCACGAAACCACCATTAGTTTGCTTAGTGACCAATAAGGCCAAATGTAAATAGAAAAGGGCTTAGAGGAAACAAATTAAGGCTATGGTGGTTAACTATGCAGAATTTAGTATCCTGCCAGTTTTTTCAATAACCAAATGTAGTAATGTCAAGCAACTGTCCTTCAAAATTGTCGAGGTGCAGGTAAACTGGAATGAACGCTCATGAATATAAAAAAATAATTTATGCTCACAGGACCTTATATATAAAACATGTTTACAGTCTTTAATGACTTTATCATCATCATGAAAACATCAACAACCTAGTTGCAGATCAGATTTATTAAAGCTCTTTCGTAAGTTCATTGACGGGAAAACATTCACAAGCTAAACTCTAACTTGTAACAACCCAGTCATGCTGCAGTCATAAAAATATGTTTACTTGAACTGGAAACTCAGCAGAAGCTAGACGGTTGTTTTCCAACAGGCATGTTTTTATCAATTGGACGCTCGAAGATCATTCAGAAAGTTCATCAGTTCTCTTACCCAATAAAACCTTCCCAAGCTCGCTCAACCCTGGAATTGCCCGCAAAATCATTGTGTTCTGCATGAGAGAATAATTCTTGACTTGAGCAAGAGGATATTAAAAAATAAATAAAATCTATGAGCATAAGCTACTCCAATCTTCGACTTTCATGTGATGATTGCTCTTAACTCTACGAAGAAATAGAGAGACTTGAATATGGTACATTTATTAACTGTTGAGTCATTGTCCAGTAGACATCACTCCCTGCGAGGAATTCCCGACTAAAAGAATGAATTGGAAAGAACTCGACCTAACTCAACAGCTAACACGTTTGGGTAAAATGGTAATTTAAATAAGCTCAAGTTCCTATCATGTCATAATATCCTCGTTTTATATTAATAGTCCAAACGTTAATCCTCAGAAATCAAAAGAATTATTCGAGTCCACATCTGTAGGAAGTGTTTGAAAATGAATTGCAGATATGTCATTAGGATAATTTAATCGAGTTCTATCTTCTTTTGTAGCTCCCCCATCCCTCAAATTTCTCCATTTTCTTCTTTTCATTTCTCTGGTTATTTTTTTCCTTTTCATCCAAGCATAATAATAGAAACCCCTCGGCCATCGATCATTATAAACACAAAAAACTTTCACGTATGAGAATAAAGGAAACTAAGGCCTTGTGTAGATAATTTTGAATCTGTTAAAAATTTTATGTTCCATACGACTGGAATAAACTTCGAGTTCAAAATTTTCATCGTAAAATAACTAAATATTCCTAAAACAGATTTTACTTGAATTAGATTATGAGAAGCACAAGAAATACACCGGCTGTTAGACAACGCAGTTATTAGTATCAGTTTTCTCATCACAATTGAACATGCTTCCATCATCATTAGCAGAGAACAAACATAAATAATTTCTCGTAACATACACAACAAAATATAACAAAAAGACTAATCTCTCTATAGAGCCGGTGAATTTCATGTGCTTCACATAATCCAATTAAAGTAAAAACCGTTTTAGGAATAATTAGTTATTTTATAATTGAAATTTTTTGAACTTGAAGTTTATTCCAGTCATATGGAACACAAAACTTTCTCATCCACAATTAAACATGCTTCCATCTTCATTAGTTGAGAACAAAAATAGCAAATAATTTCTCGTAACATACACAACAAAATATTAATCTGTCTGATAACTCGTTTCATCAATCTCACAAATGACGCAGTCAAAAAAATACGAAAAAGAAAAGCAAACACGCAAACAAAAGTCAGTGAGGAAACGTGAAAAATTTCGAACCTGCTTGTCAAGAGGATGGCGGAAATCATCTGCATCAAGATCGCGAAAGGCGAGGGAGGCAGCTCTGCAAACGGAAGACCTAAATCTCTTACTCGCCGACGATCCGAAGGTGGTGAGGTGGTTAAACCTGTGGGATGCTCCAGATCCGAATGTTCGAGGAGAGGGATTTGCAGTGAGACAGAGAGAAGAAAAGGAAAGGGAAGCCATGGGAACTGAGAGAGAGAGAGAGAGAGAGGCGTGAAGAAGGAATTGGAAATGTGTGATTTTGTTTGGAAGATTCAATGGTTCGATTGATTGGGGGTGACGATATTTATTTACGGCCATTACCCGTACTAATGGTGAACATTTGGCGCCATTTCGTTTTCATTTGACCGTTTATGACATGAACGGCCGTTAAACTAATGACTAATGCCCCCAAATCCATTTATCTTACGAGAAAAGATCTCTTTCTTTCCTTCCTGTTAAAGTGACTTCTTGTAAAAGTGACTTCTTGTAGTAGTCGAGTTCTATGTCACAAACGTATTTTTTTCAACAATGTGACATCGTTATTTTAACACGCTCACGATCAGCCTTGAGAGACCTCAAGCCACATACGTTTTTGTTCTGATTTTATAGTTTCGTTGAACCTTAGACAAGGTTTGTCTTAGCACCATCGAACATCACTTGTGCATAAGTGATGCTCTATTCGTTGTTCTATTCGTTGTTCTGAAGTAGTGGGACCCTACGAGTTAAATGAATATATGTATATATAAAGCTCTACCATTCACTAGTACATTATCAGCTCACCTTGTCTGATACAATACAACAACAATACAAGAAGAAGATACAAGTTTTTTCTTTTTCTTTTCTTCCCTTACTTATTTTGGCTTCCGCCTCGACTCGATGAACTCACTACTCTCGCCTTATCAGACTCATCCTAAGCTTGCGCTCGTTGGAAAATCTGTCTTAGCCTTTGCTGACCGGAACCATTCTGATATTTCGATTCGTAAGCCCGCCATTGGTGCTTACGATGCAGAACCAGCCTGTTCACACAGGTCTAGAAGATCCAATGTCTGTACAACCGAAGTAAAATGACAATGTTTTTGAGTGATTTTGAATATAAAACAAAGCAATTTTAGCCACGGGAGAGAAGCAGTTGTTTTACGATGAGGGAAAATTAGCAGTACCTCTGGGATAGATAGTTCGAGGCGGAATTTGGGACCGTCATAGTGGTGCAAGACTGGCCTGAATGAATCTTCTTCTAATGCTCTGCAGAGCTTTCTGATGCGGATCTTAACCTATTAATTCGAAAAACAAGGGAGTTTTATAAGCAAACTATGAGCCTCCGACGTCACACGAAAATAGAATACTGCAGACGAGACTTTACCTGAGCAGGGAACCTGGATTCGCCCTTACATTTCTTGTCTTCCCAAGCAGTTGGGTCAATGTTGGAACCTCCAAAACTTGCTGCCTGCAATAGCCAATCGTAAACCAAAATAAGCGGTAGAAACGAACTTTAAACAAGACATTGCACGAGAATCAATATCGAAAAACATTAAAAATTGGACAGTTTACAGTGACGAATGACATATCGCTAGCATCTACTACTTTATCGGCATTAAAGAACTGTAAATATAAGAAATAGAAGGAGAATCTTAAGAACTAAGCCATTATGACATGGATTGATATATTGCATGACCGATTACCAACACCCTCGAGACTACTGGTATATTTTCCTACCTGTTATCACGTATTATTGAATCTAAACTTGAGAAAATGTTTGTCATGATGAAACTAAAAGGAAATTATGTAAATAGAAAGATGACAAACCTCAAAAATGCCATGTAATTGATGGGTAGTGTAGTTATAGAGAAACAGAGGCAAGCCTGGTGTTATTGCACGCACGGAGTCCCGATATCTCGGAGGCAAACCTACAACATACAAGAATATGAGATTGTGCCACCAACTATTTCCGTTGGCCTGCCACAATGTATAACGAGCTTGAACATAATTCCGAGAATTCTTGTAAGTAATTTAGTTCAAACTTCGAGCAGTTGATCTTGATAAGCATGTAGTTAGTGTAATAAGCACAAAGTGATTCGTACAGACCATGCCAAGGTCAGAAAAGTTAGCACAATTACCAAAAAGTTGTCGCTTCAAATCTTCCTGCATAGTATCATTGTTACAGACAAAGATGTATCCACCGAGTACTTCATTTCTGGGCAGTGTCTCGGTCGCTGGCAGTGTCTTGAACCTTTTGTCGATTGAATTCACTGAGTTAGCATTTTCACCAACATTATTGTTGGAGCTGCTGTATTTGGTAAGATCTTTGTTGACGAAGTCATTGCTACTATACTTGGTACCATGTAGGCTTCCTGCAACATTTGTATTGCTTTTGCCATAAACTGCACTCATATTGTAAATCTCATTCCTCAATGGATTTTTGTTAACCGTATCGTTCGTTTTCGAATCCAAGCTCAACATGTTAAAATTGAAGCTTTCGAATTTGTTATCTTCCTGAAAACCAAACTTTTCTCTTGGCCTTGCATCGAGAGAGCTCTTTGAAAAATCAAGGTTATTCAGACGCTCTCCCTTCAATCTTGTCTGCTCAGCCAGTTTAGATGCAGCCCATAACCATTTATGATCCTCAGAGACTTTCATCTGACCTCGCAGCTCATCTCCCAATTGCCAAAAGCTATATGAACCATCCATTTTGCAGCACTTGATTGTAATAAGGATGAACGAAGATCCCTTTAAGCAATAGCAAAGAGGAAAAGAAAAATAAGTTCACTCTCATTACCCACAAAGAAAGAGAGAGAGAAGAAACTATAACTATTAGGATAATAAATGATGACTTATACTGAAACAACGTCTATCACACCCTAGCCATAGCATGTAACAACCCAAGCCCACCGCTGGTAGATATTGTCCTCTTTGGGTTTTCCTTCTGAACTTCCCCTCAAGGATTTTAAAACGCATTTGCTAGGGAGAGGTTTCCACATACTTATAAAGAATGTTTTGTTCCCCTCTCCAACCAATGTGGGATCTCACAATCTACCCTCCCCTTCGGGGCCCAATGTCCTTGTTGGCACTCGTTCCCTTCTCCAATCGATGTGGGACCCCTCAATCTACCCCCCTTCAGGGCCCAGCGTTCTTGCTAGCACACCGCCTACTGTCCACCCCTATTCGGGATTTAGTCTCCTCGCTAGCACATCGCCTGGTGTCAAGCTCTAATATCATTTGTAATGGCCGAAGCCCACCGCTAGAAAATATTGTCCTCTTTTGAGCTTTCCCTTTCAGACTTTCCCACAAGGTTTTTAAAACGCGTCTGCTAAGGAGAGGTTTCCACACACTTATAAAGCACGTTCATTCCCCTCTCCAACCGATGTGGGATCTCACATAGCACTACTTAGCCCAACACATGATCGAGAAGTAGAACTACTTTTGGAGAAACCATTGAAACAACACATGAGCTTAGTTAGTATTGTAACTAGTGGAAGATTGGTTAACAAATGCTGTTGTAAGTTATGGAATCGTGTTACTCTCTTACTACAGAGCAAGATCTTTATACTTTATAAAAAAACAATTGAACCCTTTCTCAAAATCAATCTTTATGAAGAAAAATCAGCCCCAAACGAAACTCTGTCAACCATGTCAAACTCCAATCACACTTAACAACCAAGCATAACAGTGGAAAACCCCTCAAAAGTTCATTTCCTGACAACTTAAGAAAACAGGTGCAAGCATGCACGTTAAAGCAGTTCTAGAAACACATTTCAAGGTACCCAGATCCAATAATCCCAATTTCGGCAACGGAAATCAAACAAATCGTCACAGTAAACCAAAGTCAAAACACCATCTCCAATTCACAATTCAAACTCAAAACAAAGTCAAACACGAATCGAAGTAGACTTAAGAACACTCCCTTTCTCAATTCAAACTTCCCTTGTAGTACACAACTCCAAATTTAGGTCTTAACAATTCGCTACAATCACAACAAAATTTCCAAAAATAAACCCATAAATCAAAAGACAAAACAAGTAAAAAAGAGATCCAGGGAGACAATTAAGAGATGAATGAATAAGCAATGAACAAAAATGAAGTTAATCGAGTGAAGTAAATCACCAAATATAAACAGATAAGGAAAGAACTCGGAAAATTAAGGTGAAACTGAAAGAGAGGCGAGAGAATTATGGATTTTGAAGACTTACTGAAGTGAGAAGCCCTAGATTTAGGGATCGCGAATCGCGAGAAGGAGAAAAAGAAGGTTCTTTATCTGCTTGGCTGAGAAGCCGAGCGACAGGGAAAGAGGAATTATGAGGAAGAATCTATGGGTATTTAAAGAAGCATATGACGAAATTGCCCTTGTAGAGTTTTTACAATTACTAAATTGCCACTACATTTAATTTTTTTTTTATTATTTTTATATACATATTTAGCACGAATGAAATTATATTTAACTAAATAAAATTTCAAAATAAAAATAATTGAAAAAACATATTTAATTAATTAATTAAATATACCCTAACATAATGTTAAAATAAAAATTAATATTTAATATCGAAACTTTTATAATAATTCTAAAATAATATAAATTAACTTGTATTACAAAATTACACAAAATTAATAAACCCAATAAATTATTAAATTATTAAGCACAAAAATGTTATCTAAAAATGGATAAAAATAATATTATAAGACATTTTCATATCTTGCAAAATAAATTAATAAAAAATTAAATCATAAATAAATAAATAAATAAAGGTCATTTATCAAATATTTCAAATCTCATTATTCAAAATATATATAAATTTTCCCGTAATTTGTAAAGCAATAATGTAGGGGCAACAATGTAAATTCATTTTATTTTAATGAAAATAAAAAATATATATATCTGGCAAATCCCTTTGTGTAGGTATGAAGTCCATATCCATTGTTTGTCGATATCAAATTATAACGACACGTGTGTGCATTAATGAGGAATACACAAATGAACTGAAACTTTTGTAACTGCCCAAACCATCGCTAATAGATATTGTTCGTTTTGACTTGTTACGTATCGTCGTCAGTTTCACAATTTTAAGACGTATCTATTAGGAGAGAGATTTCTACACATCTCCAACCAATATAAGATCTCTCACAATTCACCATTTTTGGGGGCCAGCATCCTCGGTGTCATACCGTTCGATGTCTGACTTTGATACTATTTATAACAACCCAAGAACGAGAGTGATCATGACGATATGATTGTTGAAAAAAACTTTAAAATACTTTTTCGGTAGCTAAATCATAGTCATCTCCAAGTTTAACTCAGACGTAGCTCGCTTCTTTTTTGGTGTGAATCAGTGTCAAACCAAAATACCCAACAAGCATTAGCTCTCTCTCAAAAGGAGGTGATCCAGTCGCACCTTCCAGTACGAGTATGGCTACCTTGTTACGACTTCACTTTAGTCACTAGCCCTGCCTTCAACATCCCCCTCCTTGCGATTAAGGTAATGAATTTAGGCATGGCGAGCTCCCATAGTGTGACGGGAGGTGTATACAAGGCCCGGGAACAAATTGACTGTCGTATGGCTGACCAACGATTACTAGCGATTCCAGCTTCATGCAACCTACAATTCGAACTGAGGATGAGTTAAACATGCTTCGCTTCGAGCAATTCTATGTTACATGAACTTTTAGAATTTTTTTTCTAAGAAAACTCGAGCATTAAAAATATTAGAGATTTGAATCACGAAAAAAACGGTAGCACGTGGGCAAAAGTGTAATTAATTAAATTATAGGCCCCTATATGCAATCATTCATATTTCTCACTTATTTTTTTTTCAATCTTATCTATAATGTCTATTAATTTAGCAACAATTTTAAATTATATTTATTATTGTAATTATTATTTAAAAATAAGCACATGGGTGGCTTTATTTTTTTTATACCATTTTTATATATAAAAACAATAAAAGTTGGTGAATGCTGTGTTTGGTTGAATTGCTTATAATTTATATATATTAATGAAGCTTTTTATAAATTAATTTATTCATAATTAATATTTGTTTGTTTGGATTTGGAAGGTTCTAATTAATTTATATAATAATAATAATAATAATAATAAATGTGAATATCTTTAAATATTAAAAAAAAAAAATTAATCTCCGTCTTGTCTCTAACTGAAACCCTAAAGTCGACTGTCGTCGGTCACCGCTAGCCATCGTCATTGTAGTCGTCGTCACTTTTTTCCTTCTTCTTTGTTTGCTCTCAGTCGACGACCACCATTTTCAAAATGAAAGACGTTCGTTTCAAATATGTGCAATTCACGAACAATCAACAAACGTGTAATAGCCCAATCCCACCACTAGCATATATTGATATATTGTCCCGTTTTAGCCTATTTGTATCACCGTTTGCCACATCCTTATAAGGAACGTTCCGTTCTCCTCTCCTACTAATGTGGGATCTCATAATGAGTGTGAACTTTTTCTTGAGTAACCCATGTGTGATTCCTTCAAATTGTTTTCAATCATGTTTTCTAAAACATTTATCGCAAACGTGACTCGAGACTCGAACATACTTTAAAATTGTGGAGCACTGTAAGAAATACACAGAGCAGAGTAGGGATGAGAAATTTATCACGTCTCCATCCCCACCTCCTACTTCAATTCTCGTTCCCGCAAAAAAAAAAAAAAGAAAGAAAAAGAAAAAAAAAAAAGAAAGAAAATCATATTATAATAATAATTTTAAAAAACAACCTAGCAATTTTTTACAAAATTAATTACACGTAGATATAGAGAAAGGTTGAATTGTTATTATTATTATTATTTATATATATATATTTTTTTTTTGAGGATGTGTGAAGATGGGCTTAAAAGAACCTAAATGGGCCCAATTCTTTTCCGGCCCATCGTTCAAACTCGGTACGGAATGGAGAATCGAGAATCAAGCTGGTTCCTCCGGTCTGGACGTGTCCTCCATTGCCGAAGCACCTCTCTTCTTCCTCTCCAATTTCATAGTTTCTCAAACAAGGATTTTCAAAGCCTCCAATCCTTTTATTTTCTTCTAATGGATTTGCAGCCGAGCGATTTCGATCGGTTACTTTTCTTCGAGCACGCTCGGAAGAATGCCGAAGCTACATACGCCAAGAATCCCCTCGATGCCGATGTGAATTTTCTTTTCTTGTTCTTTTTTCGTCTCTTAATTTGCTCATTGCGCTGTTTATGTTGATTTTGTGGCTGTTTTTTTTTTTTGTTTTTCTTGGGTTTATGGAGGATTATGTTTAATTCTATAAAATGTTATGAATCGAGGGTTGGTTTCAATTGTGCTTGAAATTTGGGTGTTAACTAGCTTTTTAGCTGTCGTCATTCATCCATAGGAGCACAGTGCTGCAATTACTTGATGATTTTAAGCCATGGCCTCAATTTCTGTGAGTTGATCACGAAATAAGGCTCCAATTCTTGCCTTTTGATTGCTAGAGGGAGTGAAAATAAAGAGAAGTAGTAGCTCCCTGTTCATATCCGAGTTACCATTTGGCTGTCAGCTTAGGAATCTGTTTAAATGTTTGAAACAGGCATAACTGATACTAATCCTGTAGTTTATTAGATAATGCACGTTTTTTCTTTAATGGGTGTTGTGTTTATGACTCTTGAGCTGTATTTGATTATCAAATGTATGGAATTTCATGTAGAATTTGACAAGATGGGCAGGAGCTTTGTTAGAGCTATCTCAGTTTCAAAGCGTTATAGAATCAAAGAAGATGATTCTAGGTATCTTTTTGTTCTTCCCAGTTGGATGATGACGCATGGGAATTGAGAACATTTTTGCTCGACTTTAATTTGTTGCTGCTCTCAGATTTTCCTTGCCTTTTTCTTCTAATCTAATGATTTTGGTGATGGACATTGAGTATATTGTGGGTTAATTTGAAATGGGGTTGAGACAGATTCAATAGCAAAGCTGGAGGAGGCACTATTGATTAACCCCAAGAAGCATGATGCTCTTTGGTGCTTAGGAAATGCTTATACTTCCCATGCCTTTTTGAATCCGAACCAGGATGAGGCAAAGAGTTATTTTGATAAGGCGTCGGTATACTTCAAGCAAGCTGTGGACGAGGTACTGAAGCTAGAAAACCATGGAGCGAGCTTATAAATATGCATTTCTTGATGGCTTTCCTAGTTTGACATGGTTTTTTGTTGTTGCATTCAGGATCCTGGAAATGAACTTTATCTAAAATCTTTGGAGGTGACTGCAAAGGTACTTTAACATTCTTTGGTGCAATTTTAATATCTTTCCATTTTCATGAATACTAAGCTCCTTTCAATGGGTTTGAATTGAGAGAATTTGTGTGAGATCCTACATTGGTTGGGGAGGAGAACGAAACATTCTTTATAAGGGTATGGAAATCTCTCCCTAGCATATGTGTTTTAAAAACCTTGAGAGGAAGCCCGAAAAGGAAAGCCCAAAGAGGACAATATCTGTTAGCGGTGGGCTTGGGCTACTACAAATGGTATAAAAACTAGACATCAGGCGATATGCTAGCGAGGAGGCTGAGGCTCGAAGGGGGGTGGACATGAGGCAGTGTGCCAGCAAGGACGTTGGCCCCAAAGGGGGGGTTGATTATGAGATCCCACAACGGTTGGAGAGGAGAACGAAACATTCTTTATAAGGGTGTGGAAACCTCTCCCTAGTAGATGCATTTTAAAAACTTTGAGGGGAAGCTCGAAAGGGAAAGCCCAAAGAGGACAATATCTGCTAGCGGTGAGCTTGGGCTATTACAAATAGTATGGGAGCCAGACACCGGATGATGTGTCAGTGCGGAGGTTGAGCCCCGAAGGGGGGGTGGATTATGAGATCCCACACTGGATGGGGAGGAGAAGCTCAAAGAGGACAATATCTGCTAACGGTGGACTTAGGCTGTTACAAGAGAGAAGAGACTTTCTTCTCATCCTGTCTTTTTTTTTTTGAAATAAAAAGTAAGCGGGTGTCAAGAACTTAGAGGTGGCAGCTGCCACCGTAGCAGTAATGAAGTATTTTTCATTAGGGATAAGTCTCTCTTGAAATGAAGAAAGAACCAAGATTGGTGGAACAAATGTATTTGAATGCTTTCGTGTTGTAAACTAGAACTTGACTGTTTCCTTAGTGTTTTGTTTCTCCCTTTTGTTATATTCATGACCCGTTTATTTGGTGGATTGTGTGTTTTAGGCCCCAGAATTGTATGCAGAAATTCATAAGCATGGGTTTGTTCAACAGACGACTGGAACAGCTGAACCCTCTGCTTCGTCTAGTACTAAGGTATTGCTTATTGCTTAGGGACGATAATATATCAGCTGAACCGCTATGTTCTACGAACACATGCTTTATATATTCCGTTAACTTGTTAGAAAAAAGGTACCTTTATCTTACTATATACTCATTTTGAGATCCCATATCGGTTGGAGTGGGGAACGAATCATTTTTTATAAGGGTGTAGAAACCTCTCCTTAGCGGTCGCATTTTAAAACCTTGAGAGGAAGTCGGGAAGGGAAAGCCCAAAGAGGGCAATATCTGCTAGCGGAGGACTTGGACTAGCTTTTTTTCATATTCCCTTGCACATTCTTTCACTTTGCTCGTTAATAACTCGGTTTCTTCCCAAAAAGAACAAATCATAAACAGTTTACAAGCTCTTAACTTCATGCTTTACTTCTTTCTAGACATCAAAGGAAACGAAGAGCAGTGATCTGAAGTATGACATATTTGGATGGGTAATACTTGTTGTTGGTATAGTTGCATGGGCGGGGTTTGCGAAATCTCACATCCCGCCCACACCACCACCTCGATAAGTCGTCGTGCTAGACGTTTGGAAGTTCGAGATTTAGAGATGATATTCATAGAGATGAGAACTACATATCGATCATCGGTTCTTTTCTTGTTCTCGTTTTCTTCTTGTTAATTCTTATTATTATCGATTTCATTGAAACTTGAGTCGTTTTTGTTTCTGGTTTTTCTGGGTATGACTGATAAATAAGCTGGGATTGAATCCTGGTTAGAGGGGTTTTGTTGGGAATGTTGCTGCTCATTGTTCGTCAAATATTTGGTGATGATTGGTAGGGTAGAAAGGAATTGGTCATTAATTTTATTTTGCAGCACATTGAGGGGGGTTGCCATTTAGTTCATGCGTTTTGTGTATCCCGTGTATAAGATCAGACCACAAAATATTTAATCTATTGATATAAATCTATTAATCGATGCGATTCGATCATAATTCTATGTCAGTTATGAACTTCTGTTTATGAGCGTTTGTTCTTTGATTTGCAAGAGCGAGAATTACCTTTACAACTTATTCAATATGCCTTCTAATTTGGGGACTTGGTCAAATAGAGAGTCGAAAATAAATGACGTTGAACAATGATGTCGGTGGATCATAAAAAAATTGTTTATTAGAGAACAATGAGGCTCGGAAAGAAATTCTTTTAAGTTTTTCTTATCGGTAACTTAATATCCTCATGACTATTTTCATTTAGATGTGGTTTTAGTTTATTTATGTACTCTACTTAGGTGTCACATGATCACCAGCTTTCGCTTCAGTTTGTCTCCGAACTACGTCATAATAAGAGAAGTTATGCTCTGATAGCATCTATAATGATACTTTTAGCATACGGAAATATGGATGGTAACTCCATCAATGGAGTCTAAGTTCAAACTAGGCCTATCAAGGAAATCCCATACCAAATAAAAATGACTTGACATGTATACTTCAGTACCCGAAACATTATTTAACACGGAAAACTATTCAAAAGAACGTTGTTCCATGGCTTCCACAATAGATGTCGTCATTCAACTAGAAAGTGACCTAACTTTTGGGGGTTGAAAATGCAAACATATACACTAAATTTATGAGACCTTGAGCTTTACTTTCATTCTTGGGTATAATTGGATGTATAAAACTTCTCTACGCACGGTCATATACATGCACATGGATCCATTTAGCGAGCTCGTTAACATATTCTCTAGGCCATATTGTGGATTTCACGACTCTAACTTTTCAAGGGATGTGCATTCATAATCATAGTCTTTCCGTCATATTTGATAAAATATTTATGGTTCACGGTGTCTTGTTTAAACACACACACACACACACACACATATATATAACCATACATAATCCTTGCTATGATTTATTACGATTCAGTTCTTACAAATGTAAAGGTGTTTATATGACCCAATAATTGATCCCATATGGACTATCAATGATTTGAGTTTGGTTAGATTTTTATTTTGGATTGAGTTGGGTAGTATTTTTGGAAACGGAAAATTAGATTATGTTTTCTTGGTCGGGTCAACCTGGCTAACCCGAAAATAAGGTTACAAAGCAACCTAGCGCAACCCTACTTTTAAAAAGATGAAACATATCTAATGACTATAACTAATGTTAGTGATGCGTTGTAACTTGTAAATGTTTGATGTTTGAACTTTATGATATTTTAGTTATTAACGTAATATGTATTGGGGATAAATAAGATTAAAAAAAAAGAAAAAAAAAAGGAACAACCCAAAAACCCAACCCAACTCAACTCCCTAATTTTTAGTTGGGTTCGGGTGTGAACTTTGTTGTTCAGATCACTCATCCAATGAACTCGAAATTTTAAGTTATCCAAAAGATTTTTGTAACTCAATCCAACTTAAGTCATGTACACCCCTATCCAAAAGTATGTAACTTATAAATTATGACGTATATTAGTATCGGTTTGCAAACTAGAAAATCATAAATTCTCCTTGATTCAGGGTAACAAATAAACATAATCTACTATTAATCGATTAAATTATTAAAAAATATTCGAGTTTTTCAAACTTGTAAGACTATAATGTAAATAAATGAAAGGTGAAAGATGAAACTCAAACCTTTATAAAAAGAACAAAAAGTGACATTTGAAGGGACATTAAAACATTGCCCAAATAATACCAATTTCATTTTCAGCATAGCAATGAGCTTTAATGGTGGCTAAAAGACAGGACCTCAGTTAGCCACAACCATTCCATGTTTCTTCCAATCGCCAAATGGGTTCTTCAAATCAATGGCAAGGTGTTGCAGAGGGCCCAATTGGGAATCGTGAAAAGGGCCCTTTAGAATTCACTAAAGGGTCAAAAATGTAATCAAACGCCTCGTCTTGGCGCGTTAGGGGGCCATCGTTTTTCAATTTCTGCCTCTCCTTCCGGCTATGGCGATGAACCAGACGCCTTCTATTCCTTCTATGCTCCGTAGAGACCAATTGTTTCATCTTTTCAATCGCTTTTCTGTCATCGTTTCCCTCTCTGGTTATAATCTAACATTTACTCTCCTCGTTGCTCTGTTTTCCCCTAATCTTTCCCCTAAATTAACGTTTTCTTTCTGCATCTGATCTTGCAGATGTGAAGAAACGGATTGCTGATGCTGTTAGGGATGATAATCAGGTGAATGTTCTTCAAAATTTGTTGCTAGTTTAGTGGTTTTTTTGGTTTAGATGATTTGCTGTTGCTTGTTTTGAAATGGGGTTTGATTATTTTTCACTTGGAACTAGTTATGTGGATGAACTTCAGTCATTAAGTTGCATAAACACTCTGCCAAATCCTCCATTTGTTTAGGGCAAATGGGTTTGTTCTGTTTGGTTATTAGCTGTTCTTTAATATCCGTGAGGGTTCAATCTCACTAGACAACTATCTAACTCTATCTGGTTGATAGGAATGACTTTGTAGTGGAATTGGGTTTGGAGGAATGCGTTTTTTAACATCTTCCTCCTCCATCAATCACTGTTCTTGTTGTGTTCTTAACCCTTTTTGTGATCCGAGAGGAGAACAAAACATTACTTCTTCCTAGTATATGCGTTTTAGAATCTTGGGAAAAGCCCAAAGAGGACAATATCTGATAGTAGTGGGCTTGGACTATTACAAATGGTATTAGAGCCAGACACTGAGCGGTGTGCTAGTAAGGACGCTGAGCTCCTAGGGGGTGGATCGTGAGATCCTGCATTAGTTGGAGAGGAGAACGAAACATTCTTTATAAGGGTGTAGAAACCTCTCCCTAATAGACGTTTTTTAAAACATTGAGGGGAAGCTCAGAAGGGAATGCCCAAAGACCACAATATCTGCTAGTGGTGGGCTTGGACTGTTACAAATGGTAACAGAGCCAGACACTGGGCAGTGTGCCAGCGAGAACGCTAGGCTTCAAGGGGGTGGATTGTGAGATCTCGCATTAGTTGGAGAGGAGAATGAAGCATTCCTTATAAGGGTATTGAAACCTCTTCCTAGTAGACGCGTTTTAGAACCTTGAGGAGAAGTCCAAAGAGGACAATATCTGCTAGTGGTGGACTTGGGGTGTTACAAATGGTATCAGAGCTAGACACTAGACGGTGTGTCAGCAAGGACGTTGGGCCCCAATGGGGGTGGATTGTGAGATCCCACATTAGTTGGAGAAGAGAACGAAACATTCCTTATAAGGGTGTGGAAGCCTCTCTCTAGTAGACACGTTTTAAAACCTTGAGGAAAAACCTAGAAGGGAAAGCCCCAAGAGGACAACGGTGGGCTTGAACTGTTACAAATGGTATTAGAGCCAAACGCCGGGCAGTGTGCCAGTGATGACGCTAGACCCTAAAGGGGGTGGATTATAAGATCCCACGTTGGTTGGAGAGGAAAACGAAGCATTCCTTATAAGGGTGTCGAAACCTCTCCTTAAACCTCTCCTTAGTAGACGCGTTTTAGAACCTTAAGGGGAAACCCAGAAGAAAAAGTCCAAAAAAGACAATATCCTACCGATGGACTTGGGCTATTATACCTTTTCTTTTTGTCCTTATGTTATGTACTTTTAGGTTCATTCTTTAATTCTGAGTTTCATAGACCATATGAATTTGTTAATAATGTATGAAGTTGTGATGGTGTAACTGTAGATGATGAGAAGCTTTTTGTTGCCTTCTGCAGGAAGCTGTAGCAGTGACAACCGCTATTCAGGAAGAGATATTTTCTGAAATGGGAATTGGTCAGTGTTTTCCAGGCCATTACTGTTTGTTTCTTTGTCGTTTTCATTGAACATTGTCTGTTTGCCTTAAATCTTCCCATTTGAATGTGTCAACTGTTTGATTTAGTCTGTGAAGCGTCTTATTTGTGAGATCTCACATCGGTTGGAGAGTGGAACGAAACATTCTTTATAAGGGTGTGGACTGAGCCCCTAAGGGGGTGGATTATGAGATCCCCACATCGGTTGGAGAGGGGAACGAAGCATTCCTTATAAGGGTGTGGAAACCTCTCCCTACAAGATGTGTTTTAAAATCGTGAGGTTGACAGTGACACGTAATGGGCTAAAGCGGACAGTATTTGTTAGTGGTGGGCTTGGACTATTATAAATGGTATTAGAGTCAGACATTGGGCTGTGTGCTATCAAGGATGCTGGGTCCCCAAAGGAGGTGGATTGTGAGATCCCACATCGGTTAGAGAGGGGAGCACATCATTCCTTATAAGGGTGTAGAAATCTCTCCTTAAAAGTTGCGTTTTAAAACCGTGAGGCTGACAGCGATATGTAACGGGCCAAAGTGGACAATATCTGTTAGCGGTGGGCTTGGGTTGTTACAAATGGTATTAGAGTCAGACACTGTGTGGTGTGCCAGTGAGGAATCTGGCCTCCAAAGAGGGTGGATTGTGAGCTTCCACATCGGTTGGAGAAGGGAGAGAGAGCATTCCTTATAAGGGTGTGGAGACCTCTCCCTAAAAGACGCATTTTAAAATCGTGAGGCTGACGGTGATATGTAACGGGTAAAAGCAAACAATATCTGTTAGCGGTGGACTTGAACTAACATTGTTAGATTTTTCTAAGTTCAGTATATGGAGTGAAAAATTTCAACTTTTAATCTCTTATTCGAGAGTATATGCTTTATCTAATTGATCTGAGCTCGGGATGAGCAGATAAGGACATGGTTAACGAACTTTCCTTTCTATCGGTAGTGTTGTACTATTTGCTTATAAACTATTAACCCAACACATTTAGGCTTTCTTCGATTTCTATGTTCTACAGATTCACGATTCGGCATATCCTGCTTAGGGAAAGTGACTTCGTTTTACGAGAACGATCTCGAGCTGATGGTTCGTTTCTACAAGTTCGTTGCAGCGTAAGCCGTCTCTAATTCATATTGAACTCGGTTTTTAAATATTC